GCTGATTTACAATACCACAGTAATCTGTTACTGTCACCTAACTATCAAAATAAGGCTTAAAATGCTAACAGGCAAAACCAGAAATTTAAAGTAAATTCTTGATATTTCTTTATTATCTGTAAGTCCAGAAAAGGATACTACCAAGAGCATTGTAATAACAAGCTAAGATAAAACGGATGAAGATATTTTGAGAAAACAAGCTTAATTGTTAAAGCCCGTGGGAATTTTTCCCTTATTCATACACTGACAGCTCTTCTGTCCTGCAGAGTAATGTTCACGTTGTGCAAAACTGCTTTGTAACATCAAAGCATTTGTTGCACTAATTGACTGCAGTGGCTCACCCAAAGTGGCTGTACCCCAGCAATGATGAAATCACTGTTTAAATCATTAAGGGTCTTTGAGGTTTAGTTAACGGCCTTTACTAGTTCAGTGAGATGAAATACAAGGTATTACAGTACATTGTTATTAAAAGCCTGACCTGTTGGTTTGCGGTCAGAAGATGTTTTACTTTTTTTTTCAGTGCAAATACGCTGTGAAACAACAAATGGAAAGATTTTAAAATAGGTATTTATTAATTGTGTTTATCTTTTAATGTTGGTTACTCATCATTACACCTTTGAAAAAATACAGATATTGTTGAATACTTCTTATTGGGAGTTCCTTTAACTTGCTCTGTCCTGAGGCTTCTCTTCTCTTCCAAACCTCATTATCCTCCCTGGTATACTGAAATAAAACTACAGGAACACAGTTCACTTCTACTCTTTTCTCTGGTAACTAAAAGAGTTAAAAGTACTACTTCTGTCCTCAGAAAGGGTTTTTTAAGTCCTTATTTAGGGTTGCATGTACCATAAGTAACTGACATGTATGCTTTTTCATAAGAAATTTTATATAGTAAACCATGTGCTGGAATATATGTTGTGTAAATAAATTATTTGTGCTGCTCAATTCTTTGCCCTTGGATTTATTTTTGCATAATTTTTGCTAGCTGGACCTTTTTGAAAGTTCCAAGTTACCAGTGTCTTGCTTGTCTTCCAGCTGTTCACAGACATGCTCATGCTCTTTGATTTTCCTCCTTCCTTTTTTTCCCCTAAATAAGCATTATTTTTACTATTCTTTAAAAATTTGAAATCTGAGCAGTAGCAGTACAGGTATAGTGGCCAGGCTACCAGTAGCAAAACTTGAGCTTCAGCAAGCATGAGGGTTGTTAGCTCTCTTTTAGTTGTTACATATTATACATAAGCACATCTTAGATTTTAGATTTTGGAAGTCCTTGGGCAAAATTAGTGAAATGCTGTACTGCTAATAATCTGTGATTGAGTCAGTAGCCAGGAGACGTGAAAGTTACATATGTAAAGAGCACACCAGATTTACTGATGACTTAGTTTTAGTAAACCTAAATTTTTTGGAGAGACAAAATAACTCACAATTTCATTTCTTGTGCAGCAGTCACCTCCAGGTGTAGGTGCAACTCCTGTTGCTTAAACTATACTATTCACAGTAACATTGAGGAAACCTCTCTGCCCTACCCCAGCTTCACCTCTTATCATAAGCTAGAGGGCAGAGGATATTTGATAATATCCTAGGAAGAGCTTGAGTCAGGTGCATACTGAGCCAGTTCAGCTCCTTTAAGTGGTAAAAGTTCTACTCCTGTACTTTAGGCTGCATTTCTGCTGACAGGCCTCTTATGTTTAAGAATTATTAGGTAAATGAAAAGCCTTTAGAGACTGAAGTCCTCCGTGTGACCTTTGAAGTAAATGGGTGGGAAAGTTGTGTGCACATGCTCAGAGCTAGAGTTTGACCCTGAAATTTCATTAGTAGCAGAGTGAGAATAATAAAATGAATTCTTAGACTCCTTACAGACTTACGACAGAAAGTGTGAGCAAGGTGATGATAGTTGTCTAACATTGAGTGCTTTGAGAAAAAGCTTTACTTGGAGAAAAGAAACTCAATATGGTTACAGCACTGAATTTCTGCTGTGCTTTGTTTTACAATTCCTGGTAAAAAAGGGGATAGGGATTTTCAGTGACGAGTTTAGCATGTTTTACTTTGGTGATTAATAGGAAGTACCATGAGATAAAACTGCAGTTCTTTGTAGATAGTTACAGGTTATCTGTCTGCACGTGATGTATGACTGATAAGGTTCTCTATTAGGCATCTACTTCTCCATTTTGGAAATAATTTTGAGATACACCGTTATCTGAGATATTAGAAAGCTAATGAACAAAACAAGATTATGCCTTCCTTGGGCCTGAACATAGGCTGATTGGGAAATTCATATTAGCAGAATTATTATTTTTATTGCATCCTGCCTTTGCCTTCCAAAACAACGTGTAAGTACATAGCTCTTATGTACATGCAGCAGCAGCAGCAGTGCGTGGAAATCTAATTCACTAAATTTCTGTTGTTCTGACTCTCGTTGCCTTGGCCATTGTTAGATCACTTCCCTTTTGTAATGTTTGCTTTATCTAACTTCATCTGTCTTTATACCCTTTATTTTCTCATCTCCTTCCTGCACTGTCTTCTATTTAAATTGTAAATTCAGTAGCGTGGGGATCCCCTTAACTCTCCACTTGTTGCAAAGCTGAAGTCCCTAGTCATTATAGGCATAACTGAACAAATTAGTCCATTCTGTCTTTAAGACTACAGGAAAAGAAATCTATAACAATAAAGCCATTTTTTTTTTGCTGATTTATAGAAGCAGAAGTGTTTCTTCCACCTGAAGTAAAAAGCCAAAGGTATTTATGTTCTTTTTTTTAATGATGCTATACACATTGGGCAGTAC